GAGCTGACTTGTCACTGCTGACCTCATCCACCAAAAAATGCAATACATCCATGTCAGATATGTACTAGAGCCCCTCCTTAAAGTGCCAGACGTATTTGCTCCAGAGAGAACAGCCACAAGGCAGAAAATAGACCAGGAGCACGCAGCTCTCCTAGAACTAAACAACACAAATCTTTGTTCTGATCCCTCCAAAACACAGATGAGGGAATCTAAGTAATCTTTGCTTCTACCACCAGGTTAGTTTACTTCTGTTATGCTTAGGTTACACACTGAAAAAAACTACTTCAGGCAGACACCAGTATTTAGATTCCACACTGCGCAGACTTGCTCCAAACAGGTCTGGGCAATAGCGGGAAGTGTTTGTCCCTGCCAACATCTCAAGCCTACACCTAGTTCTCACAGGAGACCATCTCTAGCAGAACTGACAGACGGAAAGCTACAGAGCAAGAAGTTCAGCAGGTTAGACTAACAAAACTGCTGCCCAATCCAGCCCATGATGAAAAGCTGATGGATGTTTAGAAAAATTTTTAACAGACATTTCAGTGGGCATTTGGAAGCCATATTCAGGCATCATGCAGTTCAAAACTAGATAATGGACCATGCTGAAGTCCACATAAACTGGAACTTCCTGAAGTTCAGCTGAAGCTGAACATCTCTGAAGACAATTTTGCAAAGGAGCAGGAAAGCATTAGCCTCCAGCTGGTTGGAGCCCACCAACCTTATTCTTGAAAGCCCTGTTTACACAAGGCTGCAGCTCACCTTCCAGCACTCAGCAAACTGCCAACTGCGACAAGCAAAAAACATTAAAACCATCAACAATCTGATGTCTGTTGGCTCTCAAGTCTTGTTATTTATAGGACTTTGGGTGGCCTGGCCAGAAGCCACCTTTCCTGCAGGATCCCCAAGAGGTAACAGGGCCTGGAGAGTACAAACATACAGTGACTTGGGATTAACTGCAGGAGTAACAAGACATAAGGAAGGAGCACAGTCAGAGCAAATTCTGTACACACAGGACCGTCACGGCAGAGTCCAGACTCCAGCAAGGAGAGAACATGAAGCCTAAGGACAGATGACTACTTCTCGGACACCAGCTGGATCAGCAGCTCACAGTCCTTTCCAATCACTCGCTCCAACATGCCAGTCACATGTTTTATAGAAACCTAGATTTCTATCTCGCTGCCAACTTTATTGTACGTTATTCTGGCAGGTAACCAAACCAAGATTTGCTCAGATGAGCTAGGTTTTATCCTCTGAGATCCCCAAGACCCACATCCTGCAGCAAAGCCTTCCCTTCCTCCTGGAGCTGCCATCAGGCTGAAGCATCTTTACTTCTTCTGCAATAACAGAGTACAAAGACGAGCACTGAACAGAGGTCACCAACAGTGCTTTGCATCCTCTCCCCCACTCCCTGTTTAGAATAAAGGTCAGTAGGTCTCCTTCCAGTCCTGCACACGTATCCTGTCCTCACTGTCAGAGCTGGCAGCTCAGCCAGCCGCTTCCAGCAGCTGGCAAGTGCTCTGCTTGAAACCCAGCACATCCGTTCAAGGCTGCAAACCTCCACTTAAGTTTTCAAACTGAAATCACACCCTGGTCCCACCACGGCAGCTCTAGTTGTACAAGAGAGCTGGGAACCCATTTTTTTTTATTCTGACACAGGAACAGCATTTCTCTCTCTCCCTCGTCAGCTCAAGATCAGCTCCAATCCCAAAACAAACAGCTGCTTCACATATTTGAAGTGTCTGGAAGGAGAAATAAAGCTATCTTTCCTGAAGGGCCTTAAACACCAGCAGGCCACAGCAAAGTCACAACTATAACCTGGTCCCGCAGTCGTGCAGCTGAGAGCAGGGGTCTGGAGCTCCCTCCACACAGACCACAGCAACACTGGAACCCAATCCCACCCTGTCCCAGCCACCTTCCCATTCCAAAAAGCCCCAGAGGATGGGGACTGGAGGACATGGACTGAGTCGGCTCCATTTTGCTGGAATCTCTACCATTGTCAGACAACCAGTGGCCAGACAAGGCGACAGGGAAGGGAGGCCAAATTTCCGCATTTGAAGAAAAATACAATTTCCATCTCACAGAACAGTCAAACTGTCACAATCCCCCCTCGCCTTCCTAATAAATCATGAGCCCTGACTGTAAGCACAGACACCGGCCGATCTGCAGGAACCCAGCATTCCCAGTCTGTGCTAGACCTGATGTTTATCTTGCCCAGATACCTGCTGGGTATCAGCAAGCACACCAAGTTTTCAAAGTCATTGAAGTCTCACTGAATGCCAGTTTCTTGAGCCTGGAGCACACTTAAAGACCTTTCAGCAAATTCAAGGCAAGGTTTGGAAAGGAAGAAGGTCAGCAGAAGGTGGCCTTATCCAGCAGGTCTGCCTGGAGAGAATCACCCCAAAAGACCCAGGTAGCTGCTCACTGAAACCAGCAGCAGGTTTGATTTCGCTAGCCCCAAAAGTGAAAGGGACACTGGTTTTACCAAAGAACTGCAGCTTCCAGCTCACGGGAAATGTCTGCTTCTGCCCAATTCAGGCCAAAATAAAGTTTCTGAAAACCCCGACATAGCTACAAAACAGAACCCTAGTTTTGGCCAGTTGCCTTGGCGACACACAGCAATCTCTTGGGAAGAAACCAAGGAATGTGTCCTAATGCTAGCTCCTTCCTTTTCAGGCATCAACACTCAGCCTTACTACCCAGAGTAAAAGCCACAAACATCCTCTAGGTTAAGAGTAAACAGAAATCTTTCCATTTGCTACAGCATCAGCATCTTCTAAACCCTGGCTACTAAGTCAAACTCCATGCTTGTCACCCCTAGCAGGAAAGGAACTGAAACAAAACCTGGTACTTCTCCCACTATATTGCCTCATTTAATTTCACATAGAAACCTGTGTCTCCACTACTTCTCCTTAAGCTGGATCTTATTTTCTGAAGGGTCCCCATTTGTTTCAGCCTCCTGAGTCATATAACACGCAGTTCCTCCTTTGCCTCTTAGTATCTTCTCTTTATCTAAGTTCTCATGCCAGACATCACCCCCATATAATTCTTAGCAAACACTGTTACAGTTGTATGTGCATCCTGCAGTATTTAGCACGCTTCATCTTCAAAGTGCCTGCAGAGTGGGACAGTTAATGCTATTAAGCTGGTAAGAACATAGGTGGAGAACACAGCTACATGACCTGCCCAGTGTCACACAAATCCAACACTGAACAGACAAAACAGTTGTTAACCTACTTCAAAGGATCATATGATATTTTAGGTTGGGAAAGGACCTCTGCAGGTCTGACTTGATCAGTTGCTCAAGGCTCTCCCCAGGCAAGTTTTGAGCAGCTCCAAGGATGCCACTATTTCTCTGGGCTCCCATTCCAGAGTTTGACCAATCTTAAACAATTCAGTCGCTGCACCAGCCCTGTCCTCATCTCCCTCCCTCCTTTTTGTACCATTAAGGATGGCTTCCACTGCACACCGTTTAACTGGTTTTGCTTACTTGAGCCTTTTATTCTTTTACCAGCAAGTCTGCTGCCCCAACAGCACCACCCTGCACAGAGAAACCAGCTCCTCCAGCTGCATCAGAAGCTGGACTTATCTAAGTGCATCTGTCCTGAAAGGTTTCCTCTGTTTTCTGCATTATCCTAAAAGTACCCATAACTGTAACACATTGTCTTGATATTTTCACCATTTATACCACACACCTGATTTGGTGTAAATCCAATTAATACCCCAAACTGAGCAGAGCCAAGGAAACAGCTGGAATGAGTGTAAGCCAGTGGGTACTGAAGCAGCAGAACAATTCCAGTCTGCTCAAACATTTCTTTGTACGAGGACAAGGAAAAACTGCAGGAGCACTGAGCAAGAATCAACACTCCTGCTTATTTGCTCATTCTGGATATCATGGCGCTCACACTCCACATCTGCTACCTGCAACAGTCATGATCAAATTAATAAAGACTGTGCGCTCTGATGAAGGAATTTAACAACGTTAAGCCACTACAGACAGCACTCCCTGCCTCCCTTCTAAATGAGATGCACCCTTTTCAAAGGATTTCCTCAAATTATAATGCTCCGTGCCTCAGGCACTCGTGTGGATTCAGTCCATCAAATATTTAGTCGAATTTAGGTAACGGAACGTCAAACAACTCTTCCCGCTATGGGAAAACATGTCACATCGCAGACCTAGAAATCGGGATTTGTCACCTCAGCGTGCTGCTTTCAGAGCCAAACAATTCACGCCTACTCCTCTGGCACAACAAAATAACCTGCTCTTTCAGCATGACTGTGTCTTTATCACATCCAGGTGCATTCCACCAAGCCATACATAGATTAATTCTCAATTTAAGGCTTACAAAGATCTAAGTGAGATCCCAAGCAGTGAGAAAACTGGGCATTCGCTCTGAAGACACTTGGAGCAACTGACATCTCACAGATCATCAGAGGTGTAGGTACACATCCAGAACGAGCAGACAGGTGGCATAATCTTATCAAGGGGGGTTAAGTTGTTGCTGATCTCTTTCTGCCTAATAGAGACCTAATTCTTGAGCCTCTATCAATAGATCACTAATGCAAGGAACTAATGACGCCAGCACCACGCCGCCCGCTGTACCCTGTCACAAGCCAGGCAGTGACCACAGGGAGCTCAACACGGCCAACACCCACCAGACACAGCAAGAGGGGCTGGAGAGGGGGCAAGTCCACAGCTTGTTTGAACCATGTGACTCACCTCAAATTTTCTAAATACCTGAAATATTTTACTTTCCGTTATCATACCTCCAAGAAGCAACTGTGGGAGAGGCCCTGTAGTTATTATCACAGGTCATATCCCACCCTCATCTACTTACTTGGTGGAAGAGCACCCAATGCCCCAGGGCAAGCCTCTGGCTCTCAAAAGGACCAGAAAAACACTGCCTATCTTCCCACCCAGTGCCTCATGGAAAGACACGCCAAAGTAGTACGGAGCAACTTTCAGCCTGGCTGTTGGGCGCAGAGGTGCCCCAGGCAGTTACCTTCTTGCGGCGGGAGCCCGTCTTGCTCATGCAGGACCTCTCCAGGGACAGGTACCCCCCGATCACTTCAATCTCGTTCACCGTGGGGTAGCGCTTTTTATGGGACACCCCCGCTTGGGGCCCATCAGCCTTCTCCACGGCTTTGCCTTTTCCTTTGCTCTCCTCCTCCTCCTCCTCCTCCTCCTGCTGTGGTCTTCCACTGGCATCAGTGAGAGTCTGCAGTCCCGAGGCAACGGGCTTCCTTTTGGGCACGACAGTGAAGGTGCTGCCTCCCCGCTGGTGAGGGGCAGAGTGGGGTCTGTACAGGGGCACGGAGGAAAACTCCATCTCCAGCTCAGGGCCAGCTCCTCCAGGCTGATCCACCAAGCTCCGTGTCCTCGCAGCCGAGCTGGCCCTAGGAGAAACCTCCCCACTGTCCGGCTCCACAATGTCATCGATGTAAGTCACAGGTACCAACGGATCCAGAGGCGCCGGTGGGGAAGCGACAGGCTCTTCCTGCTCCGGGGCGGAAGCCCTCGGGGGCTCCTTCGGTGCCTTCTCCTCCAAGGACGGTGGCGGCCCTGGCCTGGCGCTCTGGGCCGGGGGCAGAGCAGGGCTGCCCTCCCGGCGGGGCACGAAGAGGAAGGAATTGCGTGAATTCAGGCGCAGCTTGGCCAAGGCCTGGGCCTGCAGATCGTGGGCTGGGATGGCAGCCAGGTCGGGCTTGGGGGCCGGGTGGATTTCGAAGGAGCCCCCGGCCCTGGGGGCAGAGGCGGAGAGCGGCTGGGTAGGGCCGGTGGCACTGGGGGCCAGACTGGCACTGGGTGGGGGCGACACGGCCGCTTCGGCCTCCTCTGGCTTTGGCCTCCTGGCGTTGGCTCTGGCGTGGGGAGCGCTGGC